TCTAAGGCCTGCCAGCTGGGTGACCTCGGGCCAATCACTCCTTCTCAATCCTAGCAAGAAGGCAACAGCAAGCCACTTCTGAAAATATTTCCAAGAAAATTGCAGGGACTAATCCAGGCAATCACCGGAAGTCAACACTGACTCAAAAGCACTCAGAAATAAAATAATAATAAAACAATCCAATTATGCATGCAGGTCTACTTTCTTCCGACGCAAGTAGTGAGAACGACTTGCACATTTAGGAATTTCAACCTCAATCTTTTTACGCCCTTTAGAGGCCCAACAGCTCTACACTTTCAAGAGCTGCCTCTTGGTGGGAGCAGAAGGGAAGCGAGACTATTGTCTCCATCTTCCCTTCCTCGGCTTCTCCAAAGGTGCTAATTGACTTGCCTTGGGCTATGCTTCTTCAATGCATGTTGTTTGCCACTGCTTTTGTTGCAGGATGAGCTACTGGGAGGAATGAGGGTTTTGAAAGGAAGGTCAGGTTTTCCGGCTGAGATCTTAACTCAGCTTCATTCACTTTCCCACTGCTAACTGCCGGCCCAGTGTCCTGAAAATCAAGGCACCCAGAACATGGATGCTTCTGGGCTAGAATAATCCTTTCAATTGTTTTGTGTGCCAGAAACGCTGAATACACCCTGACAGAGAGGAAATGACCACAATGAGAGGAAGAAAAGGGAGAGGTTTATTACTTTATTTAAAGTAAACTGTTAAGGGATTACACACAGGCCCAGGCCCTGGGCTTTCTCTCAGCCACAAGCAATAGCACAAATCACTTCAACACAGGCATTGTTATGGCCGTCCTTGAGAGGAAAGATCTGAAAACCGGAGGCAGAGTAAAACTCTTTGTAGAGTCCCTGAAATAAAACAGAGACAAATAAGTAGGATAAAAGGATAGCTTCAGTTTACAGTGCTGCAGTCCTGTCACACCTCTGACAAATTTATCTTATTAAAAATAAATAAATGTTAAGGTCACATTAATGTCAATGGAAGGCTCTCATATGGCCCTTCCTGTTAAAGCTGTTACAGTAACGTTCACACCATGTTCACTGCTGCCCAGGTTAATGCTGCCAATCCTTACTGACGGATACTTAAGGACTAAACAAGCTTCCACGTTTCTTAGCTGAGGGGAATGTCAACTCTACTGATTGAGGATGATGAGAATGAAAATCCAACATAGCTTGAAGACCCCAAGTTGGAGAAGAGTATCTTAAGAGACAGGGCAAAGAAAATATACACCACACAATGCTGAGAAGGTCTTCTTAGCTAGCATCTATTGAAGTTTAATTACATTACAATTATAAAAATTGAAATTCAATTCATGGTAATAACAACTTGACATTCATAATTAGTATTGGAAGAAAAATGCACAGTAGAAGGATGGCAGAGGCTGCAGTAGCAAATTACAGCAACTAATCCAAGACAGAGCTTTGAGGGCTATCTGGCCATGTTGCTGCATCTCCAGATGCTCAAGGATCAGAGTTTGACAAATTCTGATCCCAGGTTACCTCAGATCAGAACTGTTTGCCACTTACTTATTTTGCAAGTCCTCTGGCAATAGTTCTTGGCTTTTTTTTTTATTAAAAAGCATAAAAATAGAATGCAAAACACACATTTGAGTAAAAATGCATGTAAAAGTAATTTAAATAAACAGACATAATTTAAACATCAATAGAGTGACTAGCTGCTATGCTAATTAATGTGCAAATGGGAAAGAACAGATTATATGGGTAGCAGAAAATGACCCTTCACGACTGCTGAGAATGGGAAGATGCTTTTAAAATGTGTCCTGTTTTATCAGTTCCAGTGTGAAGCCCCACACAATATTAGCAAAGGCTGATGTAAAAATGAGTGCAAACTGTTGCCCCCCCTCTCTCGTGATCAGCATTGACTTCCAAGAAACATGTGATGAACCTGCTTTTTCTAGCAGTTCCAGGTCTCCATATTTTCTCAGAATAAGAAAAAAGTCAAAGATGATGGTGTACCATAAAAATTAAAATAAAAGGTTTAAGGATGAGATAATCTGCATATAATGGAAGTAGTAGTTATGGAGAACCGATGGATTCCTCTTGTCTTTGGGCCAATTCAATATTTTTGCGATTCAGGTAGCACAGCTATACTATTACAGTTCACAGTCATGAGGGACTGGACATTTGGTCTCCTGCAATTAGTGGCTAGGCTAAAATTATTTCCTCAGTGGTAAATTCAGATGAATTTTATACAAAGAAAAGACTTAAATGAAACCAGTAAATGAGAAAGCTGAAATAAACCTCCCCTATAACTCAATTCCTTCTGGTATCAAGGGTTTAGTTAGTGCACACTGGATTCCAAATCCCTCTACAAGAATTGCTAAATGGCATCATTCCAGAATAGTGGTTGAAGCCAAGTCCTAAAGAATGTTTACCTGAAGTCATGTCGGAGGCCGGTATTATATGTTGCGGAATACAAATCCCTTCAATAAAGGCATTCCGTGATTCATTTTGTTGTGGCTGGAAAAGGAACACCAGAGTGAAGGGTCCTTGGTGCTCTCTGAGCTTGCTTGTTTTCTTGTGGATGTTTCATTACCCAAACTAGTGCTAGTACCGATGATGTTACCTAGTTTGAGTAATGGAAGGTCTACAAGGAAACAACCAAGCACAGAGAGCACCAAGGACCCCTCATTTCAACCCTGAGCTACAAATAATCTCCTTTATTGGGACACCAGAATGTTCTCACCTTACTGGCGGGGTAAAAATTTATTTTACTCCTGCTGATATTTGAGAGATCCAGGAACAATCAGCCCTTGCTCAATTAAGTATGCTGGCAAACAGTGGTATATAGGTACCAAGTTTTTATTTATTAGATTTTTTTTAAAAAAAATCATTTATTTATTTAAAATAAATAGCTCAAGGCAGTGAACGTGCCTAATACTGCTTCATCCTCTTAGTTTCCCCACAATCACCACCCTGTGAGATGACCACTAGATCAAACTGCTTTTCAGAATCCAGGGACTCTACAAAATTTAGTCTGCGTTCTATAACAAATTGAAAAAGCAGCTACAAAAATACTTTCAACCATGGCTGAATGCACCTTAAATGAATGAATTCTGCTGTAACTTTTTACACGTTTTCATATATGAAGCTAACTGAGATTAAATTGTACACCATTATTTAAATAACTTTGGGGATTCTGGAAGTTGTGTGGAGCAAAGATGCATTCTATGGAGAAAACTTGAGAAGAAAATAAAAAAGGAACTCAAATATCTTGATTTTGATTTGTTTAAAAATGTTTTTTTTTTACTTCATTTAGGGAGAAAATCCCACAGTATCTGTTAAAAAACAAATAGCAACAGGGACACGTGGCATGCAAAATTATTTTGAACATTCTTTTACATTAGTGGCAGCCAATTCAACACGCATTTTACACAGATTTATTTCTTTGTTCTCAAACAGGTAAACCAGAATTCTGTCATTCATACCATACTGAAAAATGGTCTATATGGGACTAAAATGAATCAGGCAACAAAGATACTATTTATAAACCAGATCATCTGAGGACTTATTTTTCACATTGTATAGTACAACAAACCAGTATTTTACACAGTCACTGGAGTAACAATTATTCCATTATACTTCTAAACCAGCATATGAATGAAAGGGAGTTGTATTTTTCTGAAGGCAGTCTAGTTAAAATGTTAATTTTACAGTCTTATTGCAACAAAGAGACAAAGAGAAAACTGCTAATTTGAATCTTGACTCAGATCACCAATGTAGAAATGGGTAGTGCTGTAAAGAAGAGTGATGCAGAAGATTGGGGCAAGGGTATTTTAACAAATTTAGTAAATTGCAGCTGGTTGAACACCTGACACCAGTATGATGTGCTTCTTCCTATCTTAAATCCAGTTTATTGGAAGTTTTAAAGGGAAAAACTGGTTCTGCAAGATGTATCTGCCTTATTTAGTACAGGAGGAGGAGAAACACATCAAGAGGCTGCCAATTAAATTGGTTTTATGAGGGGGGGAAATAAATGCCAGACCTGGCAGAAGAAGAGAGATGGGTCTACATTTTATAAATGAGGTAGAAGCCAAGAACTGTGACAGTGTGAAGGATAAGAGAGCTTTGGAAGCAATTATTCCAAATGGTTATGAAGAAAGTGACAGGAAGTGTGGAGTGCAGAAACTACCCCATTTCTGTGTATGACATAATATTTTTTGTTGGGGGGGGGAGGGACAAAGTAGGCCTGATTTTGTTATACATTATTAATTTTGAGAAACAACAACAGAAAGTTATCCATGGGTTTTCCCCATATCCCTGAGGTGGGGCCACTCTTCACACGGATGCCATTATCAACCTGAGGAAGCCTGTCTGTGGAAGGGTCATTAGGTCTGAAATATGGTCATGTAAATATCAACCCTCACCACCCTGACCTTCCTTGGGAAATCAATGAACCATCACCACTTACATTGTACGTACACAACAAAAAAACAAAACTGAGTCATCGCCTTTAAATTAGGAATCGGCACAAAAAACCCTTAGAGCTTTATTATTGTACCCCTCCCCCGCATAAGGAGAGGGGAATAAAAATATATTTATATATGTATATATATTAAACCACTATTTAAGTACATACCCTATTCATAAATAACCAAACACTTTCTGCCATTGCAAAATTACTCATTGAGTTCTTTAAAATGACATCCACATTAAGACAAAAAAAAAAGGGGGGGGAGGGTCTTCATGTTGGGTTAATTTGTGCATGAAAACAATAACACAAATCTGGGTTTGAGTGTGTAATATGTAATTCCCAAGTCTGGAGTATGTAGCAAAGCCAGTTTTCTTTTCTCCCCCCCACTCTGCTCCCAGAAGTGAGTGTGTCCATTTGCAGATTCGGTCTGAATGTATTCTTCCCCCCACAAAACAGCTAGGAGGGGAGCATGTTGTGGGCCATGCTGAAGAGCTTTCTTTGGGTTTGGCAAGATTTCCATTCCTGGGAGGGTGGGATTCCTGGAAAAAGATGCATTTTTTTCTATGTCTGAATCCATTTCCTCTCATATAAATAGAAGCCAACGTTTCCACACAGGACATGCAAAGTAGTGCAACAATTCCACTCATACTACTATACAACAGTCTGTTTCTGGAAAGACCGAAAGGGGTCTGTTTTCAAGAAATTGCCAATGCCAATGCAGGGATCCTTTTACTGCTGCAGCCTTCATCTCCAATCCACAGGAAGGAGCGCGGGTAGAACAATTATAAGGTCCGGACAGCTACAGGGTATAGGAGTGACAAATGTTCGGCTCCTTTGATAGGCAGTTTCTTTGCAGTGTAGTAGTGAATAACCTCAGGCACACTGTCAAAGGGAGGGCTGTTCTGACCCAAAATATACTTCTCTTTGGTTTTTGCCAACTTCATGTGCATAAAACCTTGGTTACTCCTGTTGGAGAGAGAGAGAGAGAGAGAGAGAGATGATATACAAATTTCCACAAGTTACCATCAATTTGTAAAGTCTGACCCAATTTTGATGGAAATATTTTAGGGAAGTTGATGATGAATATATTACATGAATGTAGAACATGCAAGGTTTATTAAAAAAAAATACTGGGTTTTCCCATCTGCCTTTTGCACCATATGTAACAAAAGAAAAACAAAACAGAACATTTAGTTAATTAGACTGCTTAAAACTCCAGGGTGATCCTTAATGCAAATGACCATAACTTGTCTGCAGCTGCCTAAGGGATAATGGAATATTCACTGTGCTTTGGATTTTATTACTCACTTATTTATTTACTTATTATTTATTATTCAATTTTTTAAAGGTTTCATTTTATGATGAAACGTAGCATCTGTCAGCAACTCCTGAAAGCAACTGTGCCTTTTCTTAGGATTTTGGAGCTGCCAAGAGATTCTGTGGAAAAAAAGATCTATTTGTTTTAAGATTCTGTAGACACACACTACATTTCCCAATAAAGGAGAATATCTATAGCTCAGGGTTGAAACATCACCCTAATGCTGATGATGTTACCCAGTTTGGGTAATGACACATCTGCCAGAAAACAACCAATCTCCGAGACCACCAAGGACCCCTCACTATATTTTCCCTTTTCTGCTTCCAAATTCTGAAACACTGCAGACCCCTCTGAGGAAGTAGGATGCATTCTGAGGACTAAAGAGAAAGAGGTGTTGGCCCTGATCAACCATTAATATGTATAGTTGTGTGCTGCATTACTGAGAATGATGCTATAAATAAATATTTTCTATCTCTAATTAGACTGAACCTATGAATATGCCCAAGTTAGGTTAACATGATAAAAATATAGACCAGTCTATGGGTTGCTTTGGATTTTATGACAAATGTGCAACGGGTCTGCATTCAGCTGTCATTTTTTTTCCCTGCAAAGTCTAAAAACAAATATCTCAGACAACAAATGCTCAACTAAATTTGAGGGGACAGAAACCCACGTTGGATGATGCCTTCAGAGAAACATGTATAGCCTACTACTTAATTTATAATGAGCCAAAAAGTTAAAAAAAGAGATGGAGAGAAAAAAGAAAAATCTAGTGAGAATGCCAGCTGCGCAGACAATCGAAAGAAGGCTAAGAGACTGCAGGGAAAGTGTTTGAGTTTGCGTCTCAAGGGCACAAAGAGTAATTTTAAATTGAGAATAGTCCCTTTATCCCCTTTTAAATTGCTTAAGAAAATTCAGCTTTTTTCATAGGGCGTGGGGATATCTCCATCCTGTGAAAAAGCTGAAGCAAATTTCAGGCTCACATTATTCAAATTTTCCAAGGCAATTTTGTGATGAAATGACCCTTTTCTATAGAGCAGAAATCACTGCAGGCATTGTAATTATAGCTCTGGCACGCTTAAAAAAATCTTGATTTAAATTTAAATTCTTTACAAGAATGATTGTCTTTTGAAACGTAATTGTTCTCTAAGCGATTTCCTTTAACCCAAGGGTGATATCTCTAAATACTTATTATGAGCAAATATATTGTTGTATCCCTTCAAGTTTATTATGCTTCTTTACCCTCCTCTAGTAAATGCTCTAAGATCCTGACATCAAATTAATGGGAT